ATAAAGTATAACGAAAATAAGGCTGTAAAATGATCAATCGTCTGGCTTATTTTTAAAAAAAAAAAACTAGAGGTATTAATTTCCAACTTAAAAATTTTGCTCCAAAACTAAGCCTATTTATTGCAATTTTTACCAATTTAGTGTTCATAAGTGCCAGTGCCAACAATACAGTTAAATCAATTTACTGTAAAACTTTGAATACAATAGTAAGGCCATTTGGCCTTAATTTTGTCTTCTTAATACAACATTACAAAAAAAAAGGTTTGCACCTTCTGCAAATTATCCACCTGAGAACAAAAAAAACTTTTTTGCAAGTGTCCAGATCAGCTCGCGGTATGTGATTGACAGCTTGGGCGATTGGAAAGGGATCGTTCTTTGATAGCTTTCTAAATATAAGATAATTTTCATCCTACTAAGAGAAATGATGGGAAGTTGATCGTGCAGTCACTAGCTTGATTTACTCATACATAAACAGTATTGACCGATTTTGAGAGAAAGATTATCTGTCTGAATATTTCTGACTTACACATCAGATATCACTGATCACAGATCAGGCATTGGAATAAACACGGTTACTTGCATGTTTGTGCCGTTGCTGGCAGATCCATACCGTAAAAGTCTGTTTGCAAAGCCTGCGTCGAAACTATGACTGAATTACCAAATAATACATAATGAAATGCACCGAATACAAACAAATAATGCACTGCTGAGACATTCATATTGTTGGGGGGGGGGGTTCAATTTCCTAGAATTGGGATCCTTTGGAAGTTATTGGTATTGATTGAGTGTCGATCTCAAATATCTTCCTTTGCTTTGAACTGAGCATTATAACTTTGCAGATCCAGTTTTGCTAAAAAAAAGTAACATTACACACTAAATAAAGTTAGAAAAGTGAAATCTAATCAACCATCCCTTTAATCAAATGTCCCAAAAAAAAATCCACCAATAAAATATGTGAACTCCACCCAATTCATTTTTGGGAATGGGCCAAATTTCCACATCCTGAATGAGGCTTTAATGTATGATTAAAATGACCCAAATTCAAAAGGAGAAAAGTCCCTTTCTACTGAGAATAATAAACAGGCCTATATGCAAATGCAGTACCAAACCTTCACTAAGCCCACCCCGAGTTCCCAGGCATGGTTTCCAGGGAGTCCATACAGACAAAGGCTTTTCATCTATTACTGACACAGACTTCGTGGAGGATGCAGAACCTCAGCTATTTTACCTGATCATAGCTGACAAAAAGCTGGATAATCGGGTTCTTGAAATCCATAAAAGTTGAGAATGACGCAGTAAAGCTATAATCAAATTCTTCAATATTTGCAAGAACACCGTAGGCACTAAGGTAACTAGATGAATCAGATTAAATGAAAATGCATTTGTAAGGCTAAAGTGAGTAAGTAATGCATGCCTGGGCGGTCACATAAGTTACAAAAAGTAACTAATAAGCATACAGATTCTCCCTTGTACTGATGAGTTAACGGTCTGGCATTGAGCAATGAGCTTCTACTTGCACTGCGAACTAAGCCACTGTAATGTTCAGGTCTGACTGATGGAGTAATGAGTCCTAGCAAAAAACTTTTATTTTGCAATTCCACAATTGCAGAACACAACTCAAAATCAAAATGTCACTTTTGCGATACTTCATAATTCATCATAGAGAGCCTAAGTCCCGCCCCTCCGCTTCTTGCTCATGGGACCTTATTTCGGAAAAAATATGTATGTAGTCAATGGTGAGAGACTTATCTTTTTATTCCGTCTGAACTGTGCCCTCAATTACACATATGATGTTTGTCAATTTAAAAGATAATTCTGAAAGTCGAAAACGTCGCCGTTTGTCATAAAACAGAAGAGTAACTTTTAGTTGTATGTGAAAATCGCTCAATGAACTACATCTCCCGGGAATCGAAACAACGAGTGAGATCCGCTGCTCGTGTGTATACAGCCTGGTACAAAACACTCAGGCATGACGGCGTAACGTTACGATTATAACGTAAGACTATAGAAACAATGACAGACATTAACCTCTGTAAATTTAGCTTCATTCATTGAGAGAAAATGTGTGCCTTTGGGGTTTGTAGTCTTTGTAATTACGTATTTTCACAGTATTATACCTCAACGGTTTTACATCAAACTGCTACTTTCTTTACTTTAAAATGTATCTTTTAAATTGACAAACATCATATGTGCAATTCAGGGCACAATTCAAACGAGATCAAAATATTTGTTGTCTATCGCCATTGACTACCATACAATATTTTTCAGAAATAAGGTCCCATGGTGGTCGACCAGAAGGGGTGGGACTTAGGCTCTCTATTTCACTGCAAAAAAAAAAAAAAAAAAAAAGGGCTGGGCAAGTTTTTCCCACATTTTCTTAAAATATAACGTTTTGCCAAAATCTTATTTTTATATCAAGAAATCATGGTTTTGAATAAGAATGTTAGCAAATGTTACATTTAGACATGTTTACAATATAGCAATGATAACAGTTAAGACGATCCAACCATATGATGGCGCACCTGACTAAACGCTCTCGTGAGATGCGCTTTAGGAACGTAGAACACTTCGCTAGTCTTAAGCGGCTGTTTCAGAATGTGTAATTGCGTTGAAAAAAAAAAACAAGACACAGTGGAATTGGAAAAAAGCAAAGTTATTAGACAAGACTTATTTTTTTAACTTAAGTGCCGTCTTTTTAGAATGCTGTTTCACGGGTGACACAGCAAAAGTTATAATACATATATTAGGGGTGGCACGGTACATGAAAAAACATCCGAACCGTTCGGAGCGCGTGTGCGTCTCACGGTTCGGCGCATGCACAAAGTAGCCTCGTGCAACATGGCATCATTACTTTGCATAAACATACACGCCACTTTCAAGTCAAGTGGCGTGTTATCTATACGCAATTTGAGCTATCCGCGTATATGTCCACGGCAAAACGAACCGTCAACTTTTGCGCGTATGTCTACGCCGTTAACTGTCCGAGTGATTTCGTGTGTATATAAACACCATTAAATGTCCCAGCGAAACAAAGCAAAATCTAGATCTACATCTCGGGAGTGATTTTTTTTCCCTAGGATGGTAGGAAAAGACTCATAAATGTTATTAACCCCAGTGACGGGTAGGTCTAGGGACGGGGTTGGGATAGATAATTTATTTATATATACAGTAATGTAGCGTTAAGTCAACGGCGTTGATAAACACTCTGAAAAGCGATTACGCGTGTCGATAGCACCGTAAAAATGGAAATACGAATTGACGTGTCATACACACACGATTTCATGAGATCAGACGTGTTTCCTTTTCATGCGAAATAAGACATGTGCGGACATGCATATGAGGCTTGTTCGACTTGAACCAGTACTGCATGTTGCTGCACAGAGCGATCGGTGAATGACATCAAAATACCGCGAGAGTGACTACTCCGTATGCTTTTCAATCACTCTCGTGGTACTTTGATGTCATAAACCGATCGGCCTCTGCAGAACTGGTTCAAGTACAACAAGCCAGTAAAAGTGGAGTATGGTGTGCTGCAGGTCATGTCACGCGTAGAAGTGGCAAGTGGGAGAGATAAGGGAGTTGGAGGATGCGCGGTGTTTGAACTTGTTTCACTTTATGATTATGGAATTTGCTATTGCTAATAATTATGGGCAATTATGTTTCATGTATTTTGACTTATTTAAAAGACAGAGTTTTAAGAGTTCCTCTCTTTTTCTTTTAAAAGATAATTTTTTGTAAGAGCTACACTCAAGTTGGCAGTAGGATAAATGCAAGTTAATTTCAATCTTGTGTGTGCTAAAAATGCAAATACGTACCTGTAGATATAGTGGTACATTACACATTCTACTTTTTTTGCTAATGTCAATGTCTTCTCTCTTCCTGTATCAAAATCTCACCTAGCTTTCCTCGGAGATGGTCGCAATATGTACTTAAAGTCAAGTCAAATTCAGTTTGTGCATGACTGTATAATATAACATTATTTTACAATACTGTATTGTAAATTGTGGATAATTAAGATATATATCATATGTTTAAGTAAATTTCTGGAGTGTTAAAGATAAAAATTAAAAATAACAAAAACCGCACAGAACCGAAAACCGTGACCCTAAAACCGTGATACAAACCGAACCGTGGGTTATGTGAACCGTACCAAACATTATATATATATATGCGCCAGTGGCGTGAATGCAATTAGGATTCTTAGTAATGCAAATGGACAGCTTTCTCCTTGATGTACTTTGGTTTGGATACAAACGTTTGGTATCAGATAGTGGACAGGAGGGAGGACCGGTCATACATGACCTATTGAGCCGTATTGAGCTCATGCAAAAGATTTCTACTGCTTTGATCAAAATTATTCAAACATAACCAAACAAATGATTGACTTACTAGTAGTGTTCAAAATGTCACTAACGTTTAGTGAGACCCATTCAAACAGAGAAGAAAACTGAGCAATGCCACCTTTAGATTATCTATGCATTTGGCAAATTAACAAATCACCCGAAATAAGAAACCAGTTATCAGGCTATATGTTATTTGTCAAAATAGTGGTGGTGGTGGTGGATCAATATACACGACTTTATGACAAATTAATAAATTATGAGCGCGTGGAGCATTGTCAAAAATGGCGACCAGTGATGGGCACGAGGAAATAAAATAACTCTAAATCCTCAAACGTTAACAATGCGCTATGCAAACCATTCACATAACGTTTGCTATAATCTATTTTCGAGAAGAAAGGTAATTATAAGCCTGTAATAAATATTTCGGCAGTCCAAATGCTTTTGGCCTGCTGATGTGGTTATGGCTCAACGCATTATAAAAACTAACGGGTCGTTAGTATAAAAGCTTTGACAAATGACGCTGTTCCTTTATAAAGCATTAACGGTTTAATTTAACGTTAGCCCTGCTGTTTTAAAACGAACTGTCATTTGTTAATAGCAATGCCCTTTCACGTGCTTCCCCGTTTGACAGATGATGCAGCATATCGCTCGACTTACCTGCATGGAATCAGCGCTTATAATTTCTCCATTCAACCTTTTCCCGATCTCGATAGCCAGTTTGGATTTGCCTGTTCCAGTGGCTCCTAAAATCACCACTAAAGACGGAGCGATGCCTTTCTTGAGTACACGCGTGGCGGCCGCCATGACAGGAGCCTCTCAGGAGGGCTGAGGAATGATCTGAGCATGTGCGTTGACTTCGCCTCGGAGGAGGGAACTGTATCCAAGCAACTAAAACTGTTTCCATAGGAACGAGATTGAAGGATTCGGGGAAGGAAATAGTGTTTCATTCAGAGATAGGACAAAAGTTCTTATAGTCAAACAAAAAGTAAAATAAAAACAGGAATCTTGATAAATTGACAATAAAATAGGACTATTCCAAACATGGAGGAATCAAGTTGAGAAAAGGTACAGATTTCCATCATTCAGAGAAAACTCACTCAGTAGCAAATACCATAGTAATATAGTGAACCTATCATCAGTATCCTTTGCCTTCATTGCAGTAATGACAGCCTTGAGTTTTCACTCACATTATCACTTATATAATGGTGGGTTGGTGTAATTTTTACCGTTTAATTTGCAGCTTTGTTGACTTTAACAGGTCAACTCGCGCGCCTTCCGGAAGAACACGGGTATGAATAGCTCTCTTCCGTCTCCATGGCAACTGAGCGTTCTGGGCCAAGGAAAAGAGATGATGATCGTTACCATTACGACGTGTCAACTAAAAGCGGCTCTCGCTAATGAAACGATCGAATCGACTTCACACACTCATAGGTGTTGATGGAGTAGCATATCTCTTTTGCCACATATAGTAAAATCTTGCCCTATTTTCTGGCATTTCTGAGCCAATATGATATGATATAATACTTTAATATCAGACAAGTCTGCAAGTTTCTTGCAAGACAGTGTCTATGTACAATATATAATATTGTAAACATAAGTTATGGCATATTTTAATGACCAATGCTCCCTAGTCTAGTGTCTCGATATTAAGGGATAGGTTACCCAAAAAAATAAAATTCTGCCATAATTTACTCACCCTCAGGTTGTTCCAAGCCTGTATAAATTTCTTTGTTCTGTTGAACACTAGAGAAGATATTTTCAAGAATGCTGGAATTCAAACAATTCTGGGGCACCATTGACATTTTTTTCCTACTATGGAAGTCAATGGTGCCCCAGAGCGGTCTGGTTACAGACTTAATTCAAAATATCTACCCCAGTGTTCAGCAGAACAAAGAAATGAATTCAGATTTGGAAGAACTTGAGGTTGAGTAAATGATAACATTTTTGGGTGAACTATCCCTTTAAGAGCTGTCAGAAGATCAAGATGTCTTGAGATCAGCTTAATGTGATAATTCATACAGACGTCATCGTTTACTCACGGCGATACTGTTCCAAGCCTGTATGACTTTAGTCACAGTCACTATTCACTTTTATTGCATCTTTTTCATACAATTAAAGGAATAGTTCACCCAATTTTAAAATGATCCCACAATTAACTCACCCTCAAGCCATCCTAGGTGGATTTGACTTTCTTCTTTCAGTCGAACACAGACAAAGTTATTTTAAAAAACATCCTGGCTCTTCCAAGCTTTATAATGGGAATGAATTGAGCCTGAGTTTTTGAAGCTCCAGAAAGTGCATCCATCCATCATAAAAGTAATCAATACGGCTCCAGTTGGTCAATAAATGCCTTCTTAACACGAAGCACTGAAAGAAAAAATATGTATTTAAAACTATAATCGCTAGCTTCCGTAAACAGCCATACGCCCGTTCATGAGTGAGTCGAGTTCCTGCAGAAAGGGACCTCTGACCCGACAAATGATGTTTTCCTCTTTCCTCTGCGCTTCCGCATTCATCAATTCTCATCTCAGATTACGCTACGCCTATGTCATGGGTCATACTTCCTACGCCAAACATCGGGTCAGAGGTCACCCTTATGGCAGATATCCTGTGGGAGAAATATAGTTTTTCTTCCCCCACAAAAACCCATTGCTTCGCTTCAGAAGGCCTTCATTTACCCACTGGAGTTGTATGGATTAATTTTAAGATGGATGGATGCGCTTTTTGGAGCTTCAAAAAAACTCACTATTCAATTCCACTATAAAACTTGGAAGAGCCGTGATACCTGTCCGAATGAGTTCGACTGAAACCTGGGATGGCTTGAGGGTGAGTGAATTATAGGATAGTTTTTGGGTAATCTAACCCTTTTGATGAATGGTCACTGGCATCTCAAGTTCTGTTCAAGTCATACACATTTGGAACAATCTGGGGCCGGTTGCATAAACTTCTTAGACTAATCTTACGAGTTAGTCATCTCATTTTTTTTCTTTAAGACTTTTCATAACTTTTTTGTTACATAAAAGGGTAGAATGGTCTAATTTGAATCAGAAAACGAAGACTAATTAGCCATAATTAATTGCTAGTTGGTCAGACTAGTTCTTAAGACCTTTACATAGCTGCTATGTTTATGCAACTGGTCCCAGGATGCGTAAATGATGATGGAATCTTCATTTGTGGAATAACTTTCACACATTTTATTTATTTTTTGGCTTCTGGGTCATTTGTGTATGTAACCAAATCTAAAAATCAGTTACTTTGAGTTAAATTCAACAAAGAAAGGCAAACATGCTGAAGTGATTTGAACTGAATTTATTTATTGTTTACCCAATTTTGAGTTTATGTATATAAGCTTATGAGGTACAGAACACAAAGTGCTTAAACAATGCTGTTGCCATTCTTTTCCCAGTATGACACCTGATGACAAGGGGCAAAAGAGAAAAAAAAACAAAACAAAAAAACAAATCCTGGTGGCATATGCACCCTGGTTATCAAGTACTGTCAATTTCTCATAGTAATTTACCCTTTTTGCCATACAATTTCAAAGCAGAACGAACAAACATAAGTCACAATGATTGCTGTGAACACATGACCGTTAACATTCTTAGGCATGAATAACAGTGTGCATAAATTTCTGATGGTCATATTGGGAGATAAGCAAGCATATGCCACCAGTGCAACTTTATATTTAAATAGAAATCAAATAATGATACAATCAATTCTGTAAGAAAATATAATTAGTACAAAATTCTTTCAGCATTCTCTTTCTGCCACAAGAGCGATATTAAGCCAAAGAAATTTCAGAACGCAAGGGAACAGGCAGTGAAAACAGCATAAAGTGGCTAGTGATGAAAATGAAATGTTGATAGTGTCGTTTTATTTAACTTTTTGAATTTTTTAAAAACTTTTCTTAACAAAAATAGAAACTTTGAGATACTCTAGGGAAGGCAGGTGGGCCAACCAAGGTTTAGGACAAATGACAGAAAAATAGAAAATAAAGTCTATTAACAGTGCTGATTTTCAGGTTCGAAACACAATGTCCTGTACATCACTACTATTATATACATATGTCCAAAGAATTTGCCACAGTTTATATACACTGAAAGGCTGTGCTGGACAGTGTCCTGAATGTTCAAGATAAGAAAAATATATACAATAACAAAAGGAACAAACTCAATATAACAAAAGTAACAGTGATGCAACTTCCTGTCTGTTAAACTTACACTGTCATCATGTGGCAATGGTGGCACACAGCTCTCCTAAAATTTAGGTTAATTTAGGTAACAAAAACCCTATTAACGGAGAAGTTACACGGATCAAAGACACTTAAATATCTTAAACCAGATGAATTCTAGATTCTGCCACAAAACAAAAAAAAACCATGACGGTTTAGGAGATCAATTACACGTGCATATAAATTGCTACATTTCAAATAACGCCTAATTTGGCATGCTAATTCAATTAAATAATACTTCCCCGCCAAAATACTTTAGCTTTTGCGAGAAAATTTAAGAGAACACACATTCAGGGTCTAAATCGGTACATTTCTAATGAAAATGTCAGAAATAATGACCCTCTTTGGAAAAATTGTTTGAAACTTATTAGGGTCCACTTGAGAACACCAGTACCGCAGTTTCCACAAGTACGTCCCCCTCCCCCAGTTGCGAAGGCAAATGTGCAAAGAACGAAAACTGAAGAACTAATCTCAAAATAGTGTCCATTCCATTAAATATCCCAACGTGGAACTTGGAAAAAAAACAACAACAAAAAAAAAGAAAACACACACAGCTCTACAAAGTTCCTATTGAAATCAAGGCTGGACTATGAAGGTTTATGCACGTTTCAGTTCAGCGAGTCTCCGTAGTAACTGCTGTTGCCTGCTTTTCAGCTGCTTCTTCTCCTGGGCCTTATGTTTGTCGCCGACATGCAGCGTTCGCAGGTATTCCGTGGCCTTGGTCAAGATCACAACTTTGGGTGTCTTTGGACAGTCAGCAAGGCCTGGGATTTCATCCCGTAAGGCGAGAAAGCGCGAGCGTAGGTCATTGCGTCTCTTCCGCTCCAAGTAGTTGTGCGTCTTACGTTTGTCCGTGTCCTCACAGTCTGAACTCTGAGGGCTGGATGGTTGGGATTTGAAGTGGTAGGATGAGTGCGTTGGAGAAGCGGACACAGTCTGGGATTGGGCGGGGACTGGGGGAGAAGGTAGGGGGTGGTTTCTTTCAGGGGTCTGGGGTGGGGAACTCATTCGTGGCTGCAAGGTCTCTTGCCTGATCTTCTTGCGAGGCGGCTCCTCTTCAGGATAACTGTCGGGCGAGCGGGCAGCATAGTTGTGCTGTTGCTGGTGAATGGAGATGTGGAAACGCTTCATGCAAGGGTCATAAGGGTCTGCATGAACAGTAATGGTCACCGGTTTGCGGGCGTTCACCAAGCGCGACTTGTTCTGCTTATGCTCCACCGTTACAACGTCGATCTCTTCATCATCTGAAGGAACAACAGAAAAAACATACTTCAGTTTACATATGTCTGGTTTTGCATCCATTGTAGATGGATCATGTGCTCTTTTGCAGCCTTTGTTCAAATTGACCATCCATCCAATTCTAGTACTTCAGAATGGAAGATCTATGGGTCATTAAACTACAAAATGAGTATCGTTTCTATTAGTTCCCTACTTTCGGCAAGAGGAAAGTAAACAAGGCTTTGATATGCAATAATGAACTTGGAGTCACCTCTGATGTGTATTTTGATAAGAGAAGCATCTGTTCTGAGTTCCATCTACTCCGATTTCACTACGCAATTACTTCCGTCATTGAGCACAAAGCCAAATGTTTTTGTTGCAAAATCAGAAATTCACTATTAAAAGGAATAATAATCCAAAAATGTTTTTTGGTCCATACAATGAAAGTCAATGTTGGGGTCTAATGTTGGTTTGGACACCATTGACTTTCACTGTATGGTGAAAACATTCTTCAAAATAAGAATAAAGTTTCACAATGACATGAGTAAATTATACCTATTTTTCTATTTTGGGTGAAATTTAAGCCTTTAAATTGCAAATGCCTTTAAAGAATCAACTAGGCTACATCTCTACTGTCAGCTTCACTGTTCATTCATGAACAATTGAGTGACCCTGACCACTTTAGGATTCAAGTACCCTTATTATTGCTGATCATGAACTAGTAGGCACCAGCCACAAGTAAAACAATGTCTCCTTTTGTTTCACTAGGGGAATGTGGAAGCACAACACACTTTTACATTCCACATATATTAAGTAGAATTCAAGGTGAAATGCCAACCTAACTCCCATGGCACCAATGTAACTTTTCTATTCAGCTAGGCAATGTCAGGTTTTGGTATAGTTTGGTGCATAAATCTAAGTAAACAACTGCACAGAGTGATATCGACATCTGTCAGGTGTCAACACAGCTTCAAATTTACACATAGCCTACACTTCAAGGTCTACACGGTTAAGCAAATAAGTGAGTTTTGGTGCTTACCCGAGGAGTCGGTGCGAGATTCCGACCCGGACGACACCTGTTTCTTGCAGCTGCTGGTCAGGGGGAAAGTAAGGACAGCTGCTGGATCCACGCAATCTGTCGCGAAGCTGTTGAGAACAGGAGCGTCCACTGGGACGCACTGCGCTTTGCTGGAGAGTTTCGACTGAGCCGAGCAGGACAAACGCTCGCTGACAACTTTCTCCAGCTGCTGGGTGGCGGAGAAACTGCTCCACATACAGTCCTGAATAATGATGGAGCTCAAGTTCTCCAGAGTCTCCTTCGCGTTGAGTTTGCAGTGTCCCTCCTGCTCGTCGTCCTGCCCCAAAAACTGGGACACCCACTCTAATCTGTCCCCTGGAGATGGACCGGTACCTTCCAGTATCCTGACAGGCGACATGGGCGGGGTTGGCACGAGCTCGAATTTCTTCCAAATGTCTTCGCTTGGTGCGGTTGATTTGAAAAAGTCCTCGTCCAAGTTGTGGTCGTCGTAGAAGTAGTGTTGATATTGGTCGTTTTCCTCCATCTCCCACTTTTTATTTCGCGATGCGTTTGCGGTGATTCCTGGCATTGGTGTCCTCTTTAGAGATCAAGATCTGAAAACCACAATTGATCCGATTTTAAAAACATCGATCTTTATGGTGCTCTGTGAGAGATAATTAACTTAAAGCTCTTTGTTTTATTTTCAATGAGCTTCTAGTACATAATAATTACGGTTTATCGTTGTTGTTTTTATCTTGCAAGTATTTAATACATTAATATAAATAAATGATTCTAAATAATATAGCCTGCATTCATTTTTAATATATGCAAATGTATTATAAAAAAATATAATAAGTCAAGCAGTCCAAAAAAAAGACTATAAAGTATGGTCTCCATGCATCTGCTTTACGTTACCAAACTTGAAGTTTCGCAACACATAACGTGTGTTCTGTTACATAACACAACGATGTAATGCTTCATGTAAGTGCATATACTACTACGAGTGTATACTGTCATCAACAGTTGCTCTATTCGTCAGCAAAATGCCTTACTTTTTTTCTCAAAAACGATTAAGATAACCCACATAAATTAGGCAACCACTTACCGTAATACAGGAGCCGAGAGTCAGTATTGCATGTCATTTGAGACACGAAAATAGGTGTTGCAGTTCACCGGTGAGCTCCAGACAAATGTTTTGCAAAAAAGCCTTTCATGTCAACAAGTTAGGAAAGCGTCGTAAGCGGTGTGTTGAATAATCCTGTCTTGTGTTCGTTTTCCAGGCGTGGGTTTTGTATTATCCGGCTGTAGTTTATAAGTTAAGTTGCGAGGATGTTTGCTCATTTGCGGTCCGCCTATTCATGTAAACTTCGCTTCTCTCTGAGTCTGCTCCCTTTATAGCGATGTGTGAACCCTTCTCTAGCCGCGGCTTTCGCTCACTAGTATGGACACCTGAAACGAGTACCGCACTATATTACCCAGCCAAAGTAGTGGGTGGATTTGCATATAGGGCGGGTAGTATGGCCTTTAACCACGCCCATTAAAGCGACAGGGACCTCTAGGTAAATTCAGATGTTGATTGTGAAAAAAAAGTCATATAATAGACATTGCTGTTTCAGATTTGAGAGACTTTTAAATTCTATTCTGTATTTCAGTTCTACAACGAATTGATATATGAAAGAATGAAATATAAAAATGCATTTTAACTATGAGAAATTAAACAGGACTCATACAAACATTCCACATACTTTGACTAGAAATCAAGTTTTTCAAAATGTAGATTATTCTGTTGTAATATCTTGAACATTCTGCTTGTATTTGAGGTGGATTTGATTGTAGCGGCATTAATTGTTCAGATTGAGAGATTTGATTCAGATTTCAGTTGATTCATTTAACTGCATTATGTTTGTTTAGTGTGTGATATAATGGATCATGTATATATGAAGAGTTCAGATGCAAAAGCCTCTAAATGCCATTTGAAATTTTCTTCTTTAATGATGATTTTTGTCAAACTTGTATATTTAAGTTCAGTAATTTCACTTAAATAACAATTATAATTACTGAACTTAAATATACAAGTTTGACAAAAATCATCATTAAAGAAGAAAATTTCAAATGGCATTTAGAGGCTTTTGCATCTGAACTCTTCATATGTACTGAAACATCCTTAAAACCAGATACATTTACATGCTGGCAAAAGAAAAGGCTTAGGCCTATTTCTAAAGAATATTTCTGGTTTTATTTACACAAGTTGATGTTCACAACAACAAAAAAACAACACATTTTCAGTGTTGTATGGTTGGGACAAATTGCCATGAAAACCAATTCCTGGGCGCCCCATAATATTAATAATAATAATTTCTGACACTGCAAAATAGCAAATCAGACAAGTGCAACATTAGCCAAGATCTTGCTTTCTTTGTGTCTCGCACACAACCTATAATTTTCAATTTGCATACGCTGCCTGTATTCACATTGAACTACACATTGTTGCATTATTATTTGTGAGTGAAAGAGTCATATCCAGCCCATTTTGTCTGTTTTAGCTCAAGATGATAATTAGTGCCAGCCAGCTTAATGAATTGCTGGCGGTACACAGGCTGTAGTGTTTGTTATGGCTGTACCACGTGTCCTCTTTTTTTCTAACAATGTCCCATATGGCAAATATGTTTAGTAAGTTATCGCTGACTAGTGTCTCAATTCAGTGTCTATCATCTCCTTTCTTTACATCTTAATTTAAGACATTGACCTTACACAGAACAGAGGCTCTTCCCCCAGTGATTGACGAATCTCCCTGGAGAGATGTGGCCTATCTTTCTTTCTCTGGCTTTATGGTCTTTTTATAAATTTGCTTAGCCTTTTCGACCCACCCTTTTGATCCAATTGTCTCATACAAATGCTCAAGAGTTTATAGGAGGCCGGTCAATGACATCAGGCTGGGTGAGTTCAGTTGGTTTGCTTTGACAAAAGAATTGCATTGACGATCCCCTCTCTACTCAGGTACAGTGTGCATATATATATATATATATATATATATTATCATGAATAAAGCACATCTATTGACCAATCAGAATCAAGGATTGAAACTAACCATTTTATAATATTTACACAAAAAAATGGTGATGGTTGGGTCAATTATGGGTCAAATATTATTAAAAAAATGCAATTAAACAATTTAAACCAACGCTTGGATTTGTCCATATTTGACCCAACCATGGGTTGAAACAACCCAGCATTTTTTAGAGTATATATGTATATATACTGTATATATATATATATATATATATTTAAAGATGCATAGTTGCATTTGCTAAGGTGCATCTGCGAATTATGAGAAAACTGATCTTAAAATGAAAATTTAAAAGGCAGAATCATGGCTCTCTAGGGAAATGGACATTTTAGGGCTCTGAGATGGGCCCTCACAGGTACATGCATGAACATACTATTTGTCTTTTGCTTTACGTAAAAAAAAAAAAGAAAAAAGAAAAAAGGATGACCTGCAGGCAATGAAGCTGGTGCTTTTGCGTCACTGGGGACAAAGCCTTGAAAAAGTGTGTGTGTGTGTGTGTGTGGCAGAGGTTCTTAAAACATTAGCATGCTGTTATCAAGAAGTGCTAATTAAGAATCTGTCCTCAAAGCTGTGCACTGGTTACCAGTAGCAAAATGAGAAATACGTAAACAGTAGAAAGGCTAGCTTCTCTATTTAGTTTTATGCTTAGGCCATTGATTATTATTTTTGTAACACTTTTTCTTCTGGGAGGCATAAATTGTGCAATAAATACATAATTAAACACACTAATGAAGAGGTCAGTGCCATTTCTAGCTCTTTTGACCTGGGCAGCTGCCCGATACACATAAAATGCCTTAGCAACTCTAACAACGCCCCGGCGACCGCTCTCAGCAACCTGCCAGCATGGAGGTCAGTTTTACATGCGCATGCCCTCAGTTTCGTAAAAAAAAAAAAAAAAAAAAGTTTTTCCAAAACTAATTATCAGATGCAGAAAATTTTCTCTGACCATTCGTACACTGAAAAAATTGGTGACATCTAAGTTAGCTGAGTTTATTCAAGTAAAATAATTGTTGAATCAACCTAATACACTCATTTCTACCAGCAACACAACTTTTTATGGGTTAAATCGGGGAGAAATGGCTCTTTAAAAGGTAACAATTGCAGCTTATCACATTTTTTTACAGTGTAGACATGAATGGGAAAAATGCTCTCTCTATAGGCTTTTTCTTGTTAAGTGATGGTCATCGGGAGATATTAATATGTAATACATTTGTGGTGATATAAACACACAAAAATGCAATTCTGTCTTCCAACATTCTCTGTATATCTAAACTCTCTTTGTTGCTTACTGAAGTGCACCTATCAAAGGCTGGCATCATGAATTCCCCGAAGTCTGACCCTTGAGCGAATAGGTTGACTGAGCAGGTTGAATACCACCTGATGCCTTTTTAATCACATGAGGAAGAGAGCAGGGAATCCTCCCTATATAGATCTAATGAAAGGTCAAGGTTCCGTGATCTTGACCAACAGGGTGAATACCTGTCCCTTTGATCTATTAGCATCTTGCACACTTTGCCCCACCCAGAACCCGTTAATCAAATCTGGACAACTGGCAGCAACTGAAAAGTCAGCAAAAAAACAACAACCAATCTATTGCACTCAACAACAAAAAATGCATAACATTTACATTTATTTATTTAGCAGACGCATTTATCCAAAGCATGCAAAGCAGTTAAACTAACAGTACAACGAATAACAATTATAGACAGCAAAATCACATTTAGCATGTGTTAGAAAAATAAAGATATAAAAAACTCAATATAGAAAACTGTCATGCAGGGACTTTTTTGATGGATCAGCAAGGGGGTGTTTAAAATGTAACACTTTTTATGCGTTTTGGCATTTTTAGGGGTCTGAAAATGCAAACTTTTAAAACAGGTTTCAAAGTGAAAGTTTTTGAAAAATATACCTTTATCGTCTCGTGAATTTGTAAAAACAGCGATGTCTTGCGCATGTGTGTTATGTGCCTATAAAGGCATGTATTTTCTTTAGTTTACCATGCGAATGGGGATTTTTTTGACAATGTTGTGGTCTGTATGCAAATTTTTTCAAAATTGCAACAACAAAAAAATCACGTTTTTAGGACATTGTTGTCATTGTCGTGTAAACGTAGCTTAAACGTCAAACGATAAGATTTATTCACATTTTTACTTAATAAAAATATTATTCAAAAAACACACTTAAAAATGCTGGGTTGTTTAAACCCAAAGTTGGGTCAAATATGAACAAACCAAACTATTGGGTTAAAAATGTAAATATAAGACTTAACCCAATGGTTAGTTTTGCAAATTTGACCCAACTTCAGCAATTTTTAAAAATTGGATATTTTAAAGTAAATGCACGAGATGTCATTAAATACGCCTAAATCCCTCCTCAGGAGAGGCCCAGTAAGTGTGTGAATTCGAATTTGGGGTTAAATGGCTCTCCTGGTGACTCTTTATTGCCTCCCATTGGATGCCCAAATCAATCCCAACCGACCCATCACCTGCTGTGTGCATATGCAAATGAGGGTTGCTTGTGGGTGGGTTGACATCACTTTTTGAGATGTATGTGAGATTGATGTCAAAGGAGGAGAAGTGAGAGCCAAGATTTCTCTGCCTTAAAGCAGATTCTGGTATAGGTAAAATTATTTAAATATTCTTTATTGGCACAATATGTAAATTAACTCGTTTTTAATTAAAGTATTTTATCATACATTTTTGCATTCCGCTGGAATTTTAAGTAGCCTAATGTTATATTTGAATTAACTTATATTTTGCCTACCCCTGCGTTTGTGATGAATAGCTCTAATAATTCAATAGGTGCTAGATAACATTTGCATGATTCAGATGATGCAGTGTGAGATGCATTTGGAAAAGATTCCTAAGTGTTGCATAGGTTTAGTGCTTTACAGCAAATACACAAGTGTTTATGGCCATGTGCTTGCATGAATGAAAGTATAAGCAATAGTGACTGCTGATGCCTGACCAGCATCTGAGAACAAAACCACAACTGATAGTGCAAGAACATTGCTATTTCATCCATGCAGCATCAGTTTGCAAATGACAAATATACCACCATTCCATTTCAAATCGTTCTTTTGTGTTTGTGGATTTGAATATGTGATTTTTGTTGCTTTAAATTCAAAGAGAGTGATATTCAGAATCAATTCCATGCTTCTCATGAATATATAAGCAGCCCAACGAGAGGACCAGCCATGGAGGTTTTGTCCAGCAACAACTATTGACCAGCAGGGATGAATGTGAGTGGGAGGGTCACATGGCCCCTTTGATTGATAGATGCTCATTAATTGGAAAGAGTGAAGGATTTTTTACTGCATTCTTCCAAGACTCAGCCCTGGGAGAAAGTCGGCTGTCAGCTCAGTTCTGGGTACGGCGTGTACTTGTTGCAAACTGC